CCAGTACTGGCCAAACTACCACTGTGCTGAGCAGACAGACAAGTATAGATTATGGAATAACATGTTTTCTGAGTTCCTGTTTGGGAACAACCAGGGCTTTGAGCTTTATCTAATCCTGAACAGTAAAATCACTCACATACAAACGTCAGCAAAAAAAACCCAGAGTGAATTTGGTGAAAGGGAAGTAAGGCTTTATGCATAAATTAACAAAATCTTAGAGAGCCCTGGGGGAACTTCTGGCTCTTCCTCTAGCAATGAAGATAAAATAAATACATGAACAGACTAACCTAAGGGAAAGAATAACACATATTTGCCTTATACTTACTGAAAAGTCATCATCGGGGAATAATATCAGATCCTTAAACGGGTTATCCCCAATATTTTTTTCAATCTCTGTGATAACAGCTTCATAATCCAAAGGCTCCAAGAGTTTGGGTTTTTCCTGCTGTGGAAAGAAAGAAAAGATCAGGTAATCTCTCTAACACTCAAATTTGCCTTCCTTCCCCTTCATAAACTGAGATCTGCTGCATTTTTCCTTTTTTACACCGAAGTATAAATAACTTCCTCCTCACCCTCCTCCATTCTTCCCAGCTTGCTGCAGCTGAGCTGATGTGAGAACAGTGGAAGGGAGGAAGTTGGGCCAGTTGTGACACTCACTCTCCATCTGATAACTCAAGGGCAATCTGTCAGCTCATTAGAGAGACCAACACCACCACGTTAACTTACCTGGCACTCTCAGGAACACTCTCTCTCTTCCTCTGTAAATACAAGCAGGCAAATAGACAGATGGACACAATCTGAACTGGACATAGACATGACTTCGAGCTAGTATGTTTTACAGTAAGTAATCTATTAATTTCTCCACTGTCTTACATAGTCCCACCTCTTGAACTGCTGGTAGCTTGTAAGTGCCACCACATTGTTTTACTTGGTAATAATCCAAGGTTTCTCTCCTGGAATAAACTATCTAGCACCCATCCCCATGGTTTGTCTTGTCAGAAATGGGATTACTATCATCGTAATAGTACTATTATTGCCCGAAACAGTGGTAAAGTAAGAAACCACCACAGGAACAGCCAAACAAAAGTAAAGTCACACTGTCTCAAATTCAACCCAAAAATAGAAAAAAAGAGATGCCCATCTGGCATGCCAGAATACATTAAACAAATGAAGAGTCATGTATTAGAGCAACAACATTTGTTTAATTTAAAGGCTTCAGCATCACAAGGAATAAATGAGAAAGGGCAAGAGAACTGCTAGAAGGGACAGAAAAGCAGGCAACGAGAGAGAAAAAGGACACTAGTGGAAAGAAAATGCAGAAACACTTCTGCAGAACACTTTTTCAGTCTCATGCAATGGTAGACAGCAAGTTGTATTTTACCCAGTGTTCTTGCACTGTGCTATCCAGAATACTGTAAAGTTTCTCTCCTTCCCTCTTCCCTAAACCAAAACGATGGTGTATTGGAAAATAATGCTTTCACACCTCCATAAAACAAATTTCTCCAATGGACAATCTCATGATTCTCTATCATGTTTGATCACATACATATATCATTCCGATATGGTCCATTATACATATAATGATCCAGATATACAAGTCTCTCCCTCTTTTGCCTTTGTTCTAGAGAGTTCCTGTTTTTTAGTAATTACAGTCATCTCAAGATTTCCCCCCTGCCTTTATGAACACTTTTTGCCTTGTATATTAAGTTCAAGGCTCCCTTTGGTATCAAATGCATCTATGAAAAGTTTAATTAAGGATCAGTAATACAGCCACACAAAATAGATTAAAACACTGGGATACACATGTTCCTAGAAAATTATTCAATTGCTGAACAGCTTATGACAAAAATCACAGAATAACTCTGCCAGGTCATTTACTCCAACCCCCCTGCTCAAAACAGGACAAGGTGGATCAGGCTGCTCGGGAACTTGTCCAAATGAGTCCTGAAAGGATGGAGATGCAATTTAAAAAATTGAAGCTGTTCCTTCAACAGTTCAGTCTATTAACTCTCTTAGTCCTCTTTGTCAGCTTGAGAGTTAATAAACTTCTAAAAAAACATTAGTACTTAGCATTCACAGGCCAAAACCACTGATGCTGAGACATTAAAGACTTGTAAAAGATAGACAAGATCAACGCATAACAGTAACAAATACAAAATTTTTGAAAGCTCTTTCCCAAGGAAACTGGTTTATGAATGTTGCTGTGGGAGGTGAGGGAGAGGGAGGAAAGAGAAGCAATACTTGATCTACCTTAAGTATGGTGTATCTTTAACTACCAACTCCCAGAAAACCACTAAAAGATCTATCTGTGTCAATAAAATAAAAAGAGATTCTGACACACAGATACTGTGCTAGATTCCTTCCTAGACGAATCTGGAGACATACAAGGACATGTCCGTCTTGCCTTAGAGTTATGAAAGGGAGATTGAATTAGAAACAAAACTTGGGATTGTTTAACAGAAAAAAGAAACTTCTCTAGAGGAAGGCCACTGTAAAACACAAAAGGCCCAAATGAGAAGGAACAGCTTTAAAGTTTAATTTAGATTTTGTGACAGGACTGTATACTGGTCTGTGATATTCAGGTAAGACAGGCACCCTACTAGGACACCTGAGACTTCACATTAATCCAGCCATGTTACCTTAGACTGTCCCAAGCCGGTGCTTGGCCCTGGTCAGTACCAGCTCACACATTAACAGCCAGTCATGCTCAAGAAACGCTCGGGTTGTGTAGCAGCAGAATTCTTTAGTGAGGTTTCAGCCTCCTGTTTACTGGCAGCAGTTCCCCACGGGAACATAATGGGCTCATCCAACCATCTCATCATGTACACCTCGCTCTTGTTTCCTTTCAAGTTATGTTGAGTCACCACACTATACTTTAGCCATGAGTTTTAGACTCTCCTTCATTAAATCTACCACTGTAATTTATTAAATATTCCTATATAGACATAAGTTTCAAGGAGTTAAAATATGAAAACACCAGTGTACACTGAGTGTACCATCTCTGCTGTACCACTCATTTTGGGAATGATGTCTGAAGAAAGTTCACTCAGTCCAAGTTTAGCAGAAACCAAACTTGTAATAGTGTAACTGTTACCTTCAGGATGAAACCTTACCACAACTTCTTACAAGAAAACTCAAAGTGAAAAAATACTGACATTTATGATGTACAAGTGTTTCATGCAGGCATTTTTCCTGTGTAGCTGTTTCACTAAGACATGTGCGTTTTCTGCAGAAAATCTGTGACATCGACTACACTGAGAATCCTCCCTTCCTAAAGCAGATACTGTTAGGCTAATGGTTTTGCGACACTCTCAACTTTTAATGTCAGACATGCCATTGAAACCATAAACATCCACTCTTTAAAACCAGAGACATGTCAACACAGTATTAATCTAGGTCAGATCCTCCTTGGAAACATCATGAATGTTAGCTTTCAAAACCTCTTAAAAATACATGAAGTAAGCAAATGACCTAAGTAGCCACCTTCCTATTGAAGTCATAGACTAATAAAGAGCTGAAGAATCCCACAAATCTTGGTACTTCTCTAGAAATATGGGGGAATCCCATAAAAATGTGTGGCATTTGCAGGTTCTCTATGCTAATGGAAACTACCCTTTTTGCTGGGGCTGGCGGAATGAAGAGGTATTCCTTCTTCCCCCTGGAAATCCCTGCGAGGCTGGGGTGAACATAACTACAGCTCCTTCAAAATTAATGTCATACAGGTGTTCAGATGCAGGTGGAGGCATGGTAAGCTATGTCACATGGGCCTCACTTTTCTCTTCAGAAACTGGCAGCCCTCAGAAAGCCACACCTGATAGCTGTCTGAAACAGTCCAGGGGAAAACTTCTCCTTCACAGCTGCAAGGTCATTTACGTGAAACAAGAACGCAACTCGAGAAAACCCTGAAGGAGAGACACACAGCGAGCCTATGAACATCACTCTTCCCACAGCACCAATTCTCTTGCTCTCAGTGCTGCAAAGTGCACCATCCAATGGAAAGATTTCAACAGATGTTAACAGAGAAGTCTTACCAGAAGGGCTACATGTCCGAAATGTAGCTAAATGGAAGTAGATGTAACATTATCAGAAATACTGCAAAACTTTTCAGTGAACCACTTGTATTTATGGTGATGTTTTTCTATTGATGCAATGACAACTGCCATTCTTCCTTCTACGGCATTAAAGCAAGATCCTGTATAAAATGCAATACTGTATTATGCCAACTCCCATAAATTAGAGATGGAAGCAACAGCCCATCCTCGTCAATACACCGACTGCAGAGATAATCTAGTCCATTCCCTGCCAAAATCAAGCATGACAGTATAATAAACATGATGACTCTCTTTATCAACTGTGCATGTTCTTACAAATCTTAAGACTTTGCAGTGTGGACACTGACTCCATCCCTTGTACAGCCAGTACTTTGGATTTGGCAAAGCTTAGCATTGCAATACTTCGTGTTGCATTTGTAACGGGAAGTGGTGGCTGGTTTAGTTAGCAGCTTATCTCAAGAAGCATGGAACGACTGCTCAGTTTTCTCATCACAGGCAGACAGAGGCACCAATGTTGGGATTAGTGAATTTCTCCCTGCGAGCACTAGCAGAGATCTGTAAATGAGTAGGGCTGATGTAAAGCTAATTTAATAACCATAGTGCTGCCTCTTCTCAATTTAACTTGTCTGTTCTTTTTGGAAACGGACCAACCTAGCAATCTGTGCCAAGATCAAATTATGCTGGCTTGGATTTTCATAATGCTTTTTATATTCTCTATCTCAAGTGAGTAATGAATTACATTTAGTTGTACTGAAACAGTTGTGAATACATCTAGTAGAAAGGCACTCTCCGACTCCTCACCTGCCACCACAATCGCAGCAGTACCATTTACTTCGCTCCCTGACAGTGTTGTGGAGCGTACTTCTGTATGTCGTTGAGCCAACTCCTTTTGAATTGTGCAGAGGTCTTTAATGAGCACCAGATCCAACATCACAGAGGGATAATCACTACTTCATTTCCCAGGGGTGAAACAGCCCAGATTCCACCAGTGACATGTGGCTTGATCGCTACCATCTTCTGGTCTAGGTACAAAAGTACTCTTTTCCCAGTAACAATGATGAAAAATATGCACATAAATGATTTTACAGAAACAGATATGGTACCTGGCTTGCCTCCAGCTGCACAGACATTGTGCACTGATGCTAATACCCATCTTCCCTTCATAATATAGGATAAAATGACTTATATATCATCCTCCTGAAGCCATATTTCTGTGAACACTCACTAAAAGGAGGAAATGATGTAACTGAGACCAATAGTCTCTGGATAGTCATCCAAAGCACTTCCCCAAAGTTGTTAAAAACAAACTAGACCAAATGCTATGATTTTCTAATGTTTTAATGACGTGTTATTCCCAGACACCAAATCCTGAGTTTCTAAAATGTATTTAATT